CGATGTTGTCGTCAGTAGGTATTATGCAAATTTGCACATCTCCTATCTGAACAATCTCCCTAATTAGATGGAATCATCTAAGTATGCGTTTGGATCGCTCCTTTATCAAGTCGGTCTCACCACACATTGATGCATTATATGGCATATAATGAAATAATCAACCTAACATGCATTCTATAACATAATTAAAATGTGTCAGTACATGGCCTAACTAAAATTGGTCTCCTCAAGCCTAGAGGGATCAGCAGGTCAACCTAGGGGTCCTTGATGTCCAAATTTAATACTCGTAAGCGCACGAATCACTAATAGCTAGTGGTAAGTATACTCCCAAGGTTGATCTCTCACGGAATTGCAGTGATCTAAATTCTTAATTTATTTTCTTTAACAACTAAACAAAACAATCAATTAAATCCTAACACTCTAACCAAAAGATGGATAAAATTAATCTAAAATCAAACTGTAAATTAATTAAAACTAACGAAAGTAATCTATTGAATGTGAATTAAATCAATGAGAGTGATAGTGGGGATTTAGCTAACTTCTCAATCATGTATTGGAATATTTGGCAAATAAAACTATTAAATCCTAAATCCAAATCGTTGATTTTTCCACTAAACCATAGAAAATTACAATGATCATGTTTTTTCTCCGTTTGTAATTAACTAAACTTCTATGATCAAGTTGTTAACTAATTAATCATAATTTGCACTAGAAAATCACACAAAACAATAATCATGTACTCAATTTGAACTCTTGTTTAATAGAGCTTAATTAAGGCAAGATGATCACTAGAACCCTTATTCTCAATTTTAATTATAAAAAGTAGTTGGCCAATCAACAAATTATAATTAATATCATGAAGAACAATTAAACAAGAAACAATCTAAAACTTTCATAAAACAAATCACCAAATACCCAATACAATCATGATAGTTAAACTAAACTCCCACAATATATTTAGTTGCCCATAATCAATCTCAAACCAATGAACTCAATAAATGAAAAACTAATCATATTGCAAAATAAGATGTAACTGAAAAGAAATCACCTAGGAATATTGATCCTCTGCCTTCTCTACCTAGTTGAAAACCCACAATTTCTCTCACTAAAGCAACACTCTCAAAAACATAAAAATCTCAATTGAGGTCAAAGAGAATTCTCCTAAAATAAATTACAATGTCCTATTTATAGTTTTTCTTTGTTAAGGGTGTTTTTGGGAAAGTACAAATTCAAGTCGGAGTTGGAAAAGGTGAGAATTTTGTTTTCTTCACGATCCACACTGCAACGTGATTTTATGGCACCACGACACTGAATTCTTCCCACAGACCTTAAACTCTTTCACGCTGCAGTGCCTAGATCACTTTTTAGAGCTGCGGCACAGAAAAACTCTATCATGGCACCATCCACTTCTTTGCATTTTCCTTCCTCTTTTCAACTCTGATTCTAGACCCATTTTGCACGATTTCTTCCAAATGCATTCCAAAAGCTCATGTACATTCAAAATAGTAAAAACCACCTCAAAGTAACATATTCTTAAGGTAAAACACACAAATAATAGCAAAAAACATAATAAATTCTAGGGAAAATATTGGTTTATCAAATTCCCCCAAACTTAGATTTTGCTAGTCCTCAAGCAAATCAACAATGAAAGGAAGAAAGAAAAACTCAACTAAAACCTCAAATCTTAAAGTACACTATAATTAGCCAGTAAATACATTCACACAATTGTATTCAAAATCTTAGCACAACAAAACATTTTATGCAAATACCATACACACCACACCACCATATTCCAATGCTTAGAACATATCCAACTCGATCTTCCCCAAACTTAATGTCAAGAATAGGAACTCGCTTCAAATCTAGATCTCACACAAGATTCACTCATTATATCGCACCAATCCTAGACTTACGCACTCATTAAGCATAAGTGAGTAGAAGTTATATAGACAAAGAATAGCAAACATATTCTCACACACGAATATAGTTATAATCAATAAACGCTCAAATGATCACAAAATAGATCTCATGAAAAGAACCAAGTACAAGGAATAGACATACATTCCTTATCTCCAAGCAAGATTTCCCAAAAGATCAGTCAGGTCTTTATTATGGTTGTAATGTAAGGCTCGATTGGGGTTAAGAAAGAAAGGTATGGAAAAACTAGAGCTTGAAACATACCAAAGCTCCTCTTTTTTGTACTTGAAAGGCAAACACTCCTTGAATTCATTTTGCTGCCCAGGATGTTATACTTTATGTTTTTTCTTTTCTTTTCTCTCTTTTTTTTTCTTTTTTTCCTTTATTTATTTATTTATTTTGAAAGAAGAAACATTTCCTTGGTACTCACCATATTTTTTATAAGGAGTTTAGCCCTCTTAACTTGTCTCATCACTTTGAGATTCTCAAGCTATAGGCTATGGCTTAAAATTGGGTTGAATGGGTAAGGCTTGATGTAGGTGATGAAAGAAAAGGCTAAGTGTTTGGCTTCAAAAGTGGTAATTGGTGCACACAAAAGAATGTGGATTAGGGCTTTTAATAGGGGAAAAACATGCATAGCCTAACATCCTCTCTCAAGGTCCTTCCAACTCGTAGCTACCTAGTATAAATGCCTAATGAGACCATCCTAATGTAAGTACAAATTTGAAAAAGTTTTTAAGATGTTTAAGAAAATTAACTCTCTCAATCAAAACGTTAATGGCTCAAAGAACTCACAAGGTAGTCTCCACTATTCGTTTCTTAATCATTGATTCTAAGTTCATCTCAACTTCAATATCAAGAGCATGGTCTATGGAACATGAGTATGCATCAATTTACACATCAAACTTTTGAAAATGCTAAAATAAACACAAATTGCACAAAAGATCTAGTTACCAACCAAAAATCAAATTTTCAAAAACAATTTTTTTTTGCACCCCCAAACCTAAACTAGTCATTGTCCTCAATGTCAGCAAAGAAAGCATGTGTTTAGAAAATCATTTAAAGGGAAGAGAGAAATAAATAAAATAAAATAAAACCTAAAAAACACAAATAAAAAGGATAAAGAAAGAAACTACCAAATATAAGTGGGTTGCCTCCCACCAAGTGCTTTCTTTAACGTCTTGGCAAGACGTTTCTCCTTGCATGTTCAAGGAGGCTCGTCCCTATGTGGCGATGTTGATAACTTTAAGGATTTACTAGACTTTTCTTGTGGTAAAACAAGAATTGCTCTATCTAGTATCTCATGGAATCCCTTAGTTTCCTCATCAAGTGTTTCCTCTACCCTATCAAGTGTTAGTGCAACTTCAAGCTTATCTTCTATCTTCTCCTGCAAATAAGTGTCATAAACAAGTGAGTCGACACAATCGATAAAAGAGCACTCATCATAAGTAGAAGTAGAAGGAATAGGTAGAGAAGCAAACACTTTAAATTCAACAGTCTTTCCTAAGACTGTCATGGTTAACTTTCCTTTATGGACATCTGTGATTGTCTTGTTTGTTGCCATGAATGGTCTACCAAGAAAAAATTGTATGCTCCTTGTCCTTTGAAGGTACTTCTTCCATCTCCAAAACCACAAAGTCGATGGGAACAATCAGCTTGTTGACTTGCACCAACAAATCCTCAACTATCCCTTTTGGGCATTTGACCGATCTATCTGCTAGTTAAAGGGTCATAGTTGTTGGTTTAAGCTCCCCCAAATCAGTTGCAAGTATATTGAGTAAGGCATGAGATTGATACTCACTCCCAAGTCTAGCATAGCTTTCGCGATTTTTTTGTCTCTCATGGTGGTGTTTATGTAGAAACTTCCAAGATCTTTCAATTTAGGAAGCAAGTTTTGTTGGAGCACCACACTAGCAACTTCTGAAACCACGTCTTTCTCATTCTTCCCATATCTCCTCTTTTTGGTAATGAGTTCCTTGAAAAACTTTGCATAGGAAGGCATATTCCTGATAACATCCAAAAGAGGCAAGTTAATGTTAACTTTAGAAAACATATCAAAAAATTTAGAAAATTGCTTATCCTATTTATTGTTCTTTAGTTGATTTGGATAAGGAATTGGAGGTCTATAAGGCTCTGTCGCCTTATGGAGTGTTAGTGAGTAGAAATCCTTTGTTCTTTCATCCTTGTTGATTGGCTTGGACGATTGAACATCCTTTGCTTGCACTTCCTTAGGAATTTCTTGTCTATCACGCTCCTCATGTCCCAATTTTCTGCATCATGTGATAATTCATTAGAATTTTTTTTATCAAAATCTTTATTTAAAACCTTACCACTTCGAAGGACTATATTCGCTTTCGCTTGCTTAAGTTGATTTGGCAACTTTCCTTTTTGATGTCCTTGTAGTTGACCAGCAAGTTGCCCAACTTGCATTTCTACCCTCTTCATAGATGCTCTAGAGAATCCAGCCTTTGATTATTTCTCTCCTGATTTTCTCAACTAACTTGAATAAAGGCATTTAAGCTTTCCTCCAAGGTTGGATTTCTAGGTTGGTTAGGTGGTATGGCTTGGTTTGGAAATTGACTAGGCCTTGGGTTTTGGGTAAAGGTAGGATTATTATTAATCTTCTTGGAGAAATTAGGATGATTTCTCCTCTAGGATTATAAGTGTTTGAATAAGGATCATTCATAGGCTTAGGTTGGTAATACTCCATCAAATTGGCTTGTTCTTTTTCATTCCCTGCATAAGAGTCATAAGACAAAGAACAAGTGTTAGCATCATGCCCTAAAACACCACAAACTACATATACCTCATTACTCGTTGTATTTTTGGTAGTCAAAAGTTTGACTTGCTTAGTCAATTCAACAATTTGCATAGTCATTTCATTATCAGAGCTTAACTCATGTACTCCAACTCTTCTTCCTCTTACGCTCTTTTGTTGGGAATTAGCACCCAACATCTCATATAACTCAATCGTTTTTGCAGCAGTTTTCTCACCTATTGCTCCACCAGTGGCATTGTCTACCATATATTGACATTGTTGTGTCAATCTGTCATAGGAAAACTAATTTTATAATTGAAGTGGGTAATAATGATGAGGACATTGGATGAGAAGCAACTTAAATCTATCCCATGCCTAATGAAAATGCTCTCCTTCCATTTGAGAAAACGTTGTAATCTTGGTCCTTAAGTCAGCGGTCTTTTGATGAGAGTAAAATTTGCCCATGAACTTATTGTAAACCACCTCTCATGTAGTCAATGAACCAGGTTGAAGAGTCATAAATCCAAGCTTTAGCTTTATCCCTCAAGATGTAGGGAAAACATCTCGTCTTCAATTGATCCTCATTGAGTCCTTGCAATGGAAAAGTTTGCACAATGGCATAAAAATCTCTTATGAACGTCAAAAGGTCTTCATTAGGAACTCCATAGAAGGAAGGCAACATGCTATAATGGATATTTTTCAACTCATAATTCCTTGCTGCTCCCCCTAATTGTATGCAAGACGTTGCAGTCCCAATGATTGGCCTTGCATATTCCTTCATCATCCTTTGGTTCCCTACTGGTTCCATATTTTTCACTTCTTCAAAGCTTTCCTTTTCATCCTTAGAATGTAATGTCTCTTCTTCAAAGATATCCTCGGGATGTTCTTCAAGATGTTCTTCAACTAGCTTCTGCAAATGCTCCCTTATCCTATGAATATTATCAATTGGTGGTGCGAGGTTTCCTCCTAAGGACCTTCGACCTTGCATATACCTGAAACAAAAACCAAGAAAAATTCAAACAAAGCAAAACAAAATAAAACAAAGAACAAAATTCAAACAAAACTAAGAAAACAAATATAGAATTTAAATGCCAATTCCCCGGCAACGGCGCCAAAAACTTGATGTACAAATTTAATACTCGCAAGCGTACGAATCACTAATAGCTAGCGATAAGTATACTCCCAAGGTCGATCTCTCGTGGAATTGCAGTGGCCTAAATTCTTAATTTATTTTCTTTAACAACTAAACTAAACAATTAACTAAATCCTAACACTCTAACCAAAAGATGGATGAAATTAATCTAAAATAAAACTGTAAATTAATTAAAATTAATGAATGCAATCTGTTGAATGTGAATTAAATCAATGAGAGTGATAGTGGGGATTTAGCTAACTTCTCAATCATGTATTGGAATATTTGGCAAATAAAACAATTAAATCCTAAATCCAGATTGTTGATTTTTCCACTAAACCATATAGAATTCCAATGATCATGTTTATTATCCATTTAAAATTAACTAATTAACTTCTATGATCAAGTTGTTAACTAATTAATCATAATTTGCACTAGGATATCACACAACCATCCAAATCAAAACAATGATCGTGTATTTAATTTGAGCTCTTATTTAATAGAGCTTAATTAAGGCAAGATGATCACTAGAACCCTTATTCTCAATTTTAATTATAAAAAGTAGTTGGCCAATCAACAAATTATAATTAATACCATGAAGAACAATTAAACAAGAAACAATCTAAAACTTTCATAAAACAAATCACCAAATACCCAATTCAATCATGATAGTTAAACTAAACTCCCACAATATATTTAGTTGCCCATAATCAAACTCAAACCAATGAACTCAAGGAATGAAAAACTAATCATATTGCAAAATAAGATGTAACTGAAAAGAAATCACCTAGGAATTGAAGTAGATTGATCCTCTTCCTTCTCTCCCTTGTTGAAAACTCACAATTTCTCTCACAAAAGCAACACTCTCAAGAATATAAAACTCTCAATTTAAGTCAAAGAGAATTCTCCTAAAATAAATTACAATGTCCTATTTATAGTTTTTCTTTGCTAGGGGTCTATTTGGGAAAGTACAAATTCAAGTCGGAGTTGGAAAATGTGAGAATTTTAATTTCTTCGCGATCCAAGTCCCTACATGATTTTATGGCGCCACGATGCCAAATTCTTCTCACAAACCCTAAACTCTTTTGCGCCACAACACCGAATTCTTCACGCCATGGCATTAATTTTCTGCCCAAATCACTTTTTAGCACTGCGACGCAGAAAAACTCTGCCGCAGCGCCATCCAGCTGCTTCACAATTTCCATCCTCTTTTCAACTCCGATTCTCGACTCATTTTGCAAGATTTCTTCCAAATGCATTCCAATAGCTCATGTACCTTCCAAATAGTAAAAACCACCTCAAAGTAACATATTTCTAAGGTAAAACACACAAATAATAGCCAAAAACATAACAAAATATTAGGGCAAATATTGGTTTATCAGTCCTATATTAAAATCTACTTGAGTCTTCAAGTATGACTACATCTCCTTTCACTCCATCTTCGAGTACATTAGAAATTTACAACTTACAAATTTACAACAAAATTAAAATAACCCTATACTAATTTTGCATCAATTAATTTAGAAACCTCGAGTTATATTCCAGGGAAGTGAGATCAAAAGAGAATGTACATAGAGAAGTAGAGAGAAAGGCAAAGCACGCAAGCACTATTTTATATTAATAAAATTTACAAACATACATTCCCAAGAAAATTAAAACACATCTATAGGTCTAACGCTCTTGTACCGGGCACTATGCATTATCATACATTAAGATAAAGCATACATTCAAAATTCAAAATTTTTGAATTGATTTAGCAAAATTACGTTTTCCTCTCAAGAATTTGTATAATTTTTATTGGTCCAATAGTTTTCAAAATTTGTAGTTTAGCCCCAAATTGCCTACTGATGAGTAGCAGGCAATTGTTCTCATGAGTGGCCAGCATCGGCCTCGGGTTACTGTTCATGCCCCAATTATTGTTCATAGGTCACTGTTCACATCAAAAAAAGCTTCAAGATGGTTGTGCGCGACAACGCGTGGCCTAGGGTTTTGCAATTTTTTTTTTTTTTTTTAATAATTCAATCCAATCAAGATTGAAACCAATATATAATTCATCAACAAATCAAGAATTCAATTAATCAATCACCAAATTAAAATAATTGAATCATAATTGAAACCTTGAGACATGCAATTCTATGCAATTAATCTCATACTTCAATCAAAATCAAAATACATATAATTAAGAACCCTAGGCTTTGATACCACTATAAGGAAATATGGGATTTAGGTGGGAGACTAGGACGTTTGGCTCATCATTTGTAGATTAATGCATTGTCGAGCTTAGTGGCGTCGTATGGCGGAGTTGGCTATAGTCATGAGATGTCTCCCAAGAGACGTGATACTTTGAGCAAGTGACACGTGCAGGGCACTTTTTCAATATGAAAGAGGTAGGAAAATGAAGGGTTTCGTTTCCCAAGGCCCCACAAATGCTTGCCACATGTCCCTATTTGAAAAGAGAGGTCTTTATTAGGGGGCAGTTTCCTTTGGAGAAGCCATTTGTATTTCCAAAAGCGGTTTTTGAGAGAGAAGTTGTAGCATAAGAGTTTTTCATCCTTTTTCAAAGCTTTTCGATGTAAACTTCTTACTTTTCTTCAAATTTGCATCATTTTCTTGATCCCTTTTAGTTTTCCAATAATTTTTTAGTAGTTTAGGCAAGATTTGGCAAAGTTTGGTGTGGTTTGAGAGAGAGTTTCTCTAGCATATTTTTATTGAAGGGTTTCAATTTTGGAATTTGGTGGTTTTGTGTTTGGAAAGGTAAGCATGGGGATTTGGCGGTTTTCAAGCTCATTTTTGAAACCAATGTTTTCATTTTGAAAATTCGCACAAGATAATTTCAAAACATCAATTTCTCTACTCAAAATGATTTTATCACATGTAACACAATTAAAATCATATTTGAGTTGCTCATGTTCACTTAAAAGTTTTTCATAATCGCTCAAAAGTTTTTCATGTTCATTTTTCAAAACACATTCTTGTTCCTTTAACATTCGATTTCTCAAACACACTTTTTCATATTCTTCCATTAATTAATGATTCCAATGCACATTGTAATTTATTGAAAGAATAGTTTTCGAAGTCATTTACCTCAAATTTAGAGTCTCCTTCCGAATTGCAATCGTTGGCCATGAAGCAACCGTTGGTTGCTCTTCATTTGACTCATCTTCATCGCTTGAGTCATCACTTCTAGTCCATGTGGCGACAAGAATGTTCTTCTTGCAAAATTTGTTTTCTTGTCTTTCTTCTTCCATTTAGCTTGAGGACAATCTTGACGAATATGGCTCAGTTTCTTACATTCATGGCAAATGATGTCCGATGTGCCTTTTTCCTCTTCATTTCTTGGTTTGAACCTTTGGAAATTTCTTCCCTTGAATCTTTTGTTCCTTCCAAGAAACTTAGTGAATCTTCTTGCCAAGAATTTGATTTCAACTTCCATAGAGGAATCACCTTCCTCTTCTTCATTTATTGTCTTAAGGGCAATCTCCGTCTTTGGTTGGCTTTCATATTCTTTTGGCTTTCTCTTAATCTCTAAAGTTAACAAGCTACCAATGAGCTCATCCATTTTCATTTTGGTGAGATCCTTAGATTCTTCCATCGCAATCACCTTTATTGTCCAATTTTCTAACAATGAACGAAGGATTTTCTTTACAAGCTCAAGACTTTCAAAATTCTTTCCAGGATCCTTGAGGTCATTTATCAAGTTTGAAAATTGCTTGTACATGTCAGTGATGCTTTCTCTGGTTTTCATCTCAAATAGCTCATAGTCGCGAAATAGCATCTCTATCTTTGATTCCTTCACTTGGCTTGTTCCTTCATGTATTGTTTGAAGAATTTTCCATGCATTTTGGCTGTATCACATGCCGAAACCTTTCCAAACTCTGTAGCATCAAAAGGACAAAACAAAATGTTAAGTGTTTTGTCATTTAAGCTTAATTTCTTTTTCATCATCTGTTGTATAGTCATCTTCTCTTTTTTGAAAACTTGTATTAGGGTCCATGGGAATGTAGTTCCCTTGTTCTACTATTTTTCATAAATTGTAATCTATTGACCTAATATTAAGTCTCATTGTAATTCTCCATTGTGTGTAGTTTACACCACAAAACAGTAAGGTCTTGTAGTACAATGACCTTCATTAAAGTGGGGTGTTGATGTACAAGCCATATCTAGATCGATTAACTCTTGAAACTGTTAGGCTTTTTTACACAAGCGCCCAAGCTCTAATACCAATTGTAAAACCTTATATGGCAAAAAAAATCCTAGAGGGAGGAAGGGGATACTTTAAAAATATTTGTGAAATAAAGCTT